CTTCGGCAACCCTCGGCAACCGTCGCCGGCAACACTCGGCAACCGCCGACAACCGCCGGCAACCTATGGGCGTTCCTTATCAGTTGCCTTTTGAACAAGAAATGGATTGGCTCGACGTGCTTCTGACGGCGCTCCTTTGCGCTTGCAAGATCAATCTCACCTAAACGGGCTAGACCTATGTCCAGTAAACCATTTGCCAGAACTAGAGATGCAAAGAGCGAAAAGCAAATGTTACCGCCGACGACCAATACTGTATCAAGAAACCTTATTCCTTCCAGTCGTCGCACGATATCTATTGAGAAACCTCAGCCTTCTCCGTGTAAGGGGGGAGGGGGGAGACGCAGGATTAACATTACATGTAACCAGACCCCCCTCCCATGGTTTTACTTGGAGATAAGCTATGCGAAGGTGGAGCTACCATAGTGTGACTACTACCGTCAGATTCACAGCAATTTATGAAGCGTAGAACAAGTGGTGGGTTCTGCAGTGCAATCAAACGCTTACGCCAAAAAATTTGAAAATTGCCTTTTAGATTCTTAAACAGCAGTATGGTAGTAGCTTCAGTTGATAGCTTCATTTTAATCCATTTTAGCAAGACTGCAAATTTGTTTCGTAATCTAATGCATATGATATGTTTGTACTGACCAGGCTCCAGGTTTACGTTGCGTCAGAGTTTTGGATTAATTTTTGCTTTATCTTCCTGTGAGTACGAGTCCCCTTCTGAGTGGTATTTACTTGCACACTCTGATCTGAACATTTTTCATTTGAAGAAAGCTCGCTCAAACATCTTAACCGGGTTACTGGCGCCGCAGTCGATCTGGCTAATTCGGATGTACATTTAAAGGATAATTTTTGCTAAGTCAGTTGACAGTGTCGCCGTCTCAAAGCTTCGGATCACTATCAAAAGCTTCGAAAATTGTAATATCGTTGTACTCACCTCCTGTCTTATTCGTTGGAAAACTCTAACTCTTTGCCAGATCTTGCAGAGTGCATGTTGAAACGGTTGCTTCAGAGGGCCGTAGCACTGATGACAAAAACTGCAGAAGTAGCGGAATCAAAAGCCGAATCAGTTTTGCATTCCGTCCATTCTGGGCAAGTGAAGAAAGCTGAAGCTCACAATGGAGAGGCTAAAATCCGCATAAAAAAGGCCAAATATGCTATGTTGTTGGCTTACCAGGGAAGGGAATACTTTGGAATGCAGGTATGCAGAGGGCTCCCATTTTTTTTTCGAGAACAAATCTCGTTTCAGATACAAAAGGAACATCCTACAGTTGAGGGTAAACTGATCGATGCAATGCACAAGTTGGGTTGGATTACCGAGGAAATGAAGGAACAACCTGCCTTGTTTCATTTCCAAAGGGCTGCGCGCACAGATCGTGCAGTCTCTGCAGTTAGGCAGGTGTGGGGGATTTATGCCCGTTAGAGTTGTGCATAGATATCTGTTTTCTAGATATGTGGCATGGAACTTCCAAAACGTGACGATTATCCCCTCACTGGTGCTAATCAACTCAACGACATTCTCCCCAGTGATATACGCGTCATAGGTATGATTTGTATGTTCTGTCTTCTTTGTTATTGTCTTGTTTATTGAGAAGTTGATTTTGTTTTCTAACTTACTCTTCATTGAAGTTTTTTTTTCTCAATTTTGTACATGGGCCAAACTCGATGGAAGGTTTTTAACATTCATTCTCTAGGTATGCGTCGTGCAACAAATGCGTTCCACCCGCAGAAGCAGTGCTGCGCTCGAACATATAGCTACACTTTACCAACATTTGCATTTGCAAAGCCAACAGAGGTTATAAATTTGCTTAAATGCTTCTGGCAACATGATACTTGTATACGGGAACTTTCAGCTCACAAATACGGCATTTCGAATAAAGAAGGAGACACTAGATGAGGTGCGAGATCTGCTCAGTATATACAAAGGCACACATAACTTTTTCAACTACACATCGAGGAGGTGAGTTTCCAGCTGGCTGTTTTCGAGCTTGTTTCTTCTTCGCTTTTTCCTCATACATCTTCAAGGTATTCAAACTGGTACCACAAACCATCTGTTTTCAAGTAATTGCATGATACGTATGAGACATTTATTCGCTTTTTCCTTGACAAGTCGGCACCTTTTTTCTTTCTGAATACATTATTCTTCTACATCTTCTTTGTTTCTTTGTCAAAATAGCATTTTTTCCTCTGCTCAAGCCGTACTCTGAGGGATTATCACTGATAAGCAGATTCTTTGAACGAAATGTTGCAACTTTGCTCTTCTTATTAATTTTTTTGCTTGGAATTCCTTTGACTTATGGATGTACGAAGTTATTTTTCAGAGAATTCGATGACCGTAGTTGTCATCGGTATATTTTATCGTTTGATTGTGGAGAGCCATTTTTATATCACGACGATTTTCGAAATGAGGATGTAGAATTTGTTCAGCTCACTGTGAAAGGACAAAGTTTTGTTCTGCATCAAATCCGAAAAATGGTCGGTCAGTATCGCACTTCATTTCGTTGAAAGCGTCAAGTCGTTATTCTCTTCAGGAATGGTTATCACCGTAGTTCGGGAGTTCCAGTATAAAAGCTACATTCAAAGGACCTTTGAGAGTGAACGAGTGAGATTTCATTTGCCTTCAACGCTGATTTTTTTCTTTTTCGCTATTTTTGCCGCATTTTATTTCCTTATGCTTGCTGTGTCTTCGAATTTTTTT